AATTCCCAACTCCCAAGTCAGCCTCGCAGCGTTTAGGAAAATGTGGAGTTTCCAGCCACTCACAATCCACAAATTGATGAAGGCCGCCCCCAGACTTATCGATCATGGGTGGGGGCATACTTCACCACTCTGGTCATTGCGGGTTGAAGAAGAGTTTGAATGCCAACCGACCTATTCAAATTAACCTGTTTCGTTGTGGCAGTCAAGGTCTCATTAATGTTTAAAAATACAATATTCAGAAGCTAGCACAGTTGAATTACATGTCCAGTACATTTATACGTTCGACTGATTATACGCATTTACATCCGTTAAAAAAAGACAAAGCTCCCCCGTGCAACCTTTTCATGGACTTGTGGAGCAAGTGCTGTTAGTGAGCACCTATTAATGCGGGCACAGAGCGAGAGGGAGTGGTGTGGCGATATTGGGAACCACGCCCGGTCACCTTTGTCTCGCCAGTGCTGATGTTTCCACACCGCGACAGGCACTCATTAAATCTTTTATATTAAGTTCACTTGCTTGCGCGCTTACGACCGTGCAAATCTTTCGGTCGTTTTTTAACCCACTTCCCGTGATCCAATCGAGCTGACATTTTGCACACAGACTCGTTGTGCGTGACAATTTATTTTGGTGAAAAAAATTTCCTAAATTTTACACTTTTTAGGAAAAAATAAATTATATTTAATTACCAATTGCTTAATGGTAGCAGGCAATCATCTGACCCATAGGTGGCAGCCATCTCAAGCCAGAGGACGAGAGGACTCTAGCCGCCACGCATATAAAGGATTTATAGTGAAAAACTTTGTTTTTACGGGTAAATTTTTTTTTCAGACCGAGTCAGCCGAGAGAAGGCTCACAACCCCATCTGATACCGCTGGTGTTAGCCGCGGCCCGGAATCGAACTCAAGCGCAGCTGGAGCTATGAAGATTGCGTCATTTTAAGGCCACGGTGTTATTGCCGAATGCGTTGAGGGTTTTTATCTTTGCATTAGACGTTTATTTGTTTACCGAATATCTGTCAATTGTGCTTGTGCACCACTGCCAACGCAGCAGCATCACCAAACCATTAATGTAATGAGGTAGCTGGGATAATTAACAAAACTAAAACCTAAACTGTGCTTTTATTTTACAAGGCCCACTGAGCTCTATACCAGAGCTCGTTTTCGGAAGCGACAAACGATGATAGCTCAACGAAGTGGCCTGATCACGTGGACATTCTATAGCAGCCAAATAGTCTAAACGCGTGATGTTGTTTATAAATGTGGAGGGCGAAAAACCTGAGGGACCCTGGAGAAAAATCCACGCGACCACGGGGAGAGAGAGAGAGAGAGAAACGCAAACTCGAAATATACAGCAGACGTCAGGGTCGGGGTCGGGATCGAACCCACGACCTCCTGTACACCAGGCGAAGTAGTTAACATCTCCTATCCACCGCAGTAATCACTCAGGTGGCAGGGCTCATAACGCACGGTCGATTGAGGAGGCCTCGTAAATCCCCAGGACTTATATCCTTACGTCCAAAGGACGCCATATATAACGTTACTCGGCATATAACGATGACTGCAACGGCACTCCACAGGGTGAATGGCTGTACAAAGACGGCTCGGCACGGGTTCGGGGAGTCATCATCCAACAGTGGATGGCACGATACTGTAGATGTAATATTCTTCTTCTTTCGTACGGCTGCTGATGTAGATGCAAAGCAACAACAACTTCCATTTCACATTCAGCTGGTCAGGCCACAGCTAACGGCGTCAGAAACAGCGGAGTGTATCGTACTTGTGGATTGGGGATTGCCTCGTTATACGTTGCACTGTCTGTTCTATTTGATCGTAATTGCAGTGCTGTACTGTGTTGTTAAGACAATTGACACTTGTTCGCACTTAATATCACGACATGGACTTTGTACAGGTTTCTTTCTATGGTAAATTAATATATTCCGATCACCTCTTTGCACTTACCTGGCAGTGTAATTGTTCACGTGAAATACATGATTGCTATTTTGTGTTGTGGATAATTATCAGGCATCGAACTAGAGGAGCCATCTCTAAGAGAGAGGGGAACCCTTGTCTATAACATCTGGCAGGTGACACCAGCAATGGTTTGAGAGCCAGAAAGACTGCTGATGAGACACTGAATTTCGAAGCCGGTACATGCGGAGTGCTGCTTGTGTTGAACCAATGCTGCTAAAATTACGCACTCCCAGAAGGCCGTGTGCATTGTGGGAGGTGTACAAAAATAATACATTTATACTTCATGTGAACGGACGGATATGTATTAGTCTTTACTCTTTGGTTCTTTCGGTAAAGTCACGTAGGTAGAAAAATAATACAATAAAATAAAAAATAATATATCACGACATTTCGATCGCAACACAAGCGGTCGTCAGCAGGTGGAAAAAATAATCCAGCTGTGAAACTGCTGAACCAGCAAGTTCAGCAGTTCCACTACGAGATTAGTTTTTCTATTGAAACGTCGTGATATATTATTGTTTTATTTTATTTTTATTATTTTTATACCGACGTGACTTTAGCCGAAAGAACCAAAGAGTATGGATTCCTGCAGTCACGAAAGCTTCAAATCAAGAATGTATTAGTCTTGCTTATTTGTTCACTTTGTTCAATTTCAGAATTTTGTTGGGACGCTACATTTTCAACATTCCATTCTGCAGCACACACATGCAGATGTAGCTTGCAACTCCTTTTTTTTTCTCTGTTTATAATCACGATAATTTACATCCCTTTGTCCATCCACTGCTGGATGGAGGCCTTCCAACGCCCTGTCGTCATCAAGGGTGTTCATATTTTTCGATCTTTCGGTAAAGTCACGTAGAAGGGGGGAAATGGCAAAATAATGAAAATAAAACATAATACAATTCTCACGACGTTTCGGCCACAACACAAGCAGCCGTCGGCCACAACACAAGCAGCCGTCCCGAGGACGACTGCTTGTGTTGTGGCCGAAACGTCGTGAGAATTTTATTATGTTTTATTTTTATGATTTTGTTATTTCCCTTCTACATGACTTTACAGAAAGATCCAAGTATATGAATCCCTGCAGTCACGAAAGCTTTACATCGAAATGAAGGGTGTTGTTTGACCATACTTCACCGCGCTGGTCAGTGTGTGTTGCTGAAGTTGCGGGGCGAGTGGGTCTCAGAATTGGTTCGGATATCACTCAACAGCGCAGTGCGCTTACCACTGCGCCACCGCTCCCCCAGCTATTTCCGTCTTTTTTGTTAGTGTACTCTACAAACCAGCGACAAGCAGAATTAAGGGCTTAAGTGATTTTCTTTCCATTACCCTCGGCTTTATTGCGCCCAATGACAAAGTGCAGGGAAATAATTAATCTGATTAAATGAATCGATCACAAATCTCATTCATTATTAAACGACAGACGCGCTGCTACTGCTGCTGCGAGCTGTGATGACAATGGGGCTCTCGCTTTGGGTTAAACGTAAACTTATTTATTGTCTGCCACGTCCGTTACAGGTCCCGTGTGTCACCTTGAATAAAAAAAAAAATGCGTTCCAGCCTCGGCTGTTTGCTATGCGCATCATGTTAATAAAATCTCGCCCGGACTGGGACAAAACCCGCTCGAGCCGGAGTCCCCGTGCTGAATGACCCGGCCCCGTGGACTGAGACTCACAGCGGCCGCGAGTGAAACCGCTCCACATTACCACCCCCCACCGCCCCCTTTCTCTCTCCCTTCCTGAGTGAGCCTCTTGACTTCAGCGCGGGGACTGCGTTACCCTTCACCAGATAGACGGGAGTCGTTACTCAGCACGCTACTCGAGTCACCACTCAACTCACCACTCAACTCACCACGAGACTCGCCACTCAACTCACCACTCGACTCACCACTCAACTCACCACTCAACTCACCACTCAACTCACCACTCGAATCGCCACTCAACTCACCATTCAACTCACCACTCGCTACTCGACTCACCACTCGACTCACCACTCGACTCACCACGAGACTCGCCACTCAACTCACCACTCAACTCACCACTCGACTCACCCACTCACCACTCAACTCGCCACTCAAGTCATCACTCAACTCATCACGCAAGTCATCACTCAACTCACCACTCAACTCACCTCTCAACTCACCACTCAACTCACCACTCAACTCACCACGAGACTCGCCACTCGGTTCACCACTCAACTCATCACTCAACTCACCACTCAACTCACCACTCAACTCACCTCTCAACTTACCACTCACCTCACCACTCACCTCACCACTCACCTCTTAGCTCACCACTCAACTCACCACTCAACTCACCACTCAACTCACCACTCAACTCACCTCTCAACTCATCACTCGACTCACCACTCGACTCACCACTCGGTTCACCACTCAACTCACCACTCAACTCACCACTCGACTCACCACTCGAATCGCCACTCAACTCACCACTCAACTCACCACTCAACTCACCACTCAACTCACCACTCAACTCACCACTCAACTCACCACTCGAATCGCCACTCAACTCACCACTCGAATCGCCACTCAACTCACCACTCACCTCACCACTCGAATCGCCACTCAACTCACCACTCACCTCACCACTCACCTCACCACTCGACTCACCACTCATCTCACCACTCAACTCACCACTCACCTCACCACTCACCTCTTAGCTCACCACTCAACTCACCACTCAACTCACCACTCAACTCACCACTCAACTCACCACTCAACTCACCACTCGACTCACCACTCGAATCGCCACTCAACTCACCACTCACCTCACCACTCGAATCGCCACTCAACTCACCACTCACCTCACCACTCACCTCACCACTCGACTCACCACTCACCTCACCACTCAACTCACCACTCAACTCGCCACTCAACTCACCACTCACCTCACCACTCGAATCGCCACTCAACTCACCACTCACCTCACCACTCACCTCACCACTCGACTCACCACTCAACTCACCACTCAACTCACCACTCAACTCACCACTCAACTCACCACTCAACTCACCACTCGAATCGCCACTCAACTCACCACTCACCTCACCACTCAACGCACCACTCGACTCACCACTCACCTCACCACTCAACTCACCACTCTACTCACCACTCACCTCACCACTCAACTCACCACTCGACTCACCACTCACCTCACCATGCAAAACGAACACCGCCTTTTGGACAGCACAGACAAGCGGCCGTGGCCAAAGCTGAGAGGGCACGTGCAAGGTAAGTCGTGGAATTGTGTAATATTTTTTTTGTTATCATCCATCATCGTCGTCGTCGTTATGAACAATAATCTAAAGTACTCTGTCCACCAAATGCTTGCTTGAGACATTACCCACGCCGTGTCGGTGATCTTGCGGGTTCTTTGACTATACTTCACCACACTGGTCAGTGGAGGTCGGTGTGCGTGGCGGGAGGGGAATACCGTCATCCAGCAGTGGATTGACAGAGGGCCGTACATCGTACACCGTAGGTGTGTGCAACGCGGTTATTATCGAGCAGTTGATTCACATTGGAGCCCTTGAGCATAGGGGGGCCCCGTTGGGTCCTGAGACTTCGATATGAACCACAAACCAGCGCCACTTGGAGCCGTGTAATTAGAGATGTCTCGTACACGTACTTGGCTTGGAGGGGGGTGGGGGCATAGACTAACTTGGAGACGTTGGCCAAATGAAATAAATCAAGGATAGGGTGGGGAGAACCAAGGGAACGAGACCCTGACCGTTGTCTCTGCAAGCGTCGTGTGTCACGATTTCCTGCAATAAAACACGCATCGCCTTCAAGCTGCACACGCACAGGCGACACGAACGCGAACGCGCGATGATGAGTGTGGAGGGGGGTGGTGGGGGGCGCGTCGTCTAATTTTGAAAAACAATAGTCGGAAACCGCAAACTGCCGCCCAAAAAAAAAAATCACAAATACAATTTATGTAAATAGCCAACCTGCAATACAGCAGAGTGCTTGCAATCTGCACTTTGGAGCAATGCGTACGTGCCGATGTGATTATACGCAAGATACGAAATCATAATAAGGGTGTAAGTTAAATTGATGTGGGTGAAGTATGGATGAACAGCCCCTATGCCCGTCACAGCATGAGAGAAGCCTCGTCCATCAGTGGATTGACAAGAGGGCGAGTGATTATTACACGCCAGGTGGAGCGGTGGACGTAGTGGTTAGCGCACTGACCTGTGAAACCAGTCCACCAGCTGAGCGTTAGTTCCCAGTCTTGGCTAACATCACGTGACGAGTGCTGTCTGCGCTGGTGCTGGGCACCGACATATATTGACCAAGCGTGGTGAAGCATAGTGAAACAACCATCACGAATGGCATGGTTTAATGAGGACATCAACGCTAATTCTGGTCATCCTCGCAGCGGCTTGTGGCTAATCGTCGAACAAAGACGATCGCTGCATTGCGTGCTTTCGGATGCGCTTCTGCGGTCGTCTGGAACGCTCTGTCGATATTAGGAAGCCATTGGAGCGTGGTGCCAGGTTGAAATTTAGTCAAAATTTTTCCAATTTCCTTGAATCACATCGAGTCACCCCGTGTTCTGTAGGAGCAACAGTCACGCTCGGATGTCAAAAACACAGTGTACCTTATCGGAGGATGTCGTTCATGTCATTGCAAGGACTGCCAAAAGATAAACACTAAAACCGTTTCTCAGAAACGTCAACTTGTCACATAATTTTTACTCGAGCCCCAAAGCGTAATAATATTTCGAGCTAGGATATCCAATCGGTTACTGTGACGATGATCTCTAACGATTATTGTTTACTCTAACGATTTGATCACTCCACTAAATGGATAACAATAAAATGGTTGTGGGCGGGGCTTGGTGATGTCATCAGCGTCATAAATTGCATCTCTCTCTGGGAGTGGCTTTCGGGGGGTTTCCTGCCTTCGGGATGGAGGATTCGAGAGCGGCCACCCTTTTCAGCTGGGGTCTGATGAATCCACCAAAAAGTGTAGTTGATTACAATTTGTCCATTATTTGAAGATTTAAGCACTAGTTATTTCTTCATCCTGTTTGCAGTACATTTTTGGCAAGTTTCATGTCTTGATTTAAATCTTTCGTGACTACTGGAATTCATACTCGTTGGGTCTTTCGGTAAAGTCACGTAGATAGAAGAAAAATAATAAAATAATAGTAAAAATCACCTTTCGATCGCAACACAGGCAATCGTCATCGGGTGAGGCAAACACAGCAGGAGAACCTGATGACGGTTGCTTGTGTTGCGATCGAAACGTCGTGATCTATTATTTTTCTATCTCCGTGACTTTACCGATAGACCCAAAGAGTAAGTTTAATGTCAGTAATTTTTTGTTTTAGGTCTTGTTAGTTTGCACATTCCCTTGCTGCAATGTCCTGTAACTCTGGTCTTGGGTTGTTTTGTTGTTCTTATAATCGAGTTGCTTCGCTCAATGGGCATTAGAGTACCGGCTGAAATGAAGGCAAAGTCTGAGTCTGACTTAATCGACTCATTGTTTCAGCTCTATATAAAATGCGTTAAATGTGTCCACTGTTCAGGATTGTAGGATAATACTAGGTTTATAGAACAGTTTATTTGGCATCGCGTCCAACATTTATAATTGGTTTGACACAAAAAATCACATTCACTTGATGTTATTTGTCGGAAGGCCATGCTCAATCACCGTGTAGCTCTTCGCACCCGAGCTGTGTGGCTTCTCCAGTTTGTGTCCAGGTTGTACGGTGCGTGTTTCATGACAACGTCTTACGTCTCGCTCCACGTGCTGGGAGCTTCTTTAGGAAGTTAATATATAAATAATTCTGAGGGCTATCCACCCAATTACTTATTTAAAAATAGCCGAACAACCAAGCCATTGCCGCTCCTTACTGAGTCGTGGAAAAACACATTCCTGCGGAGGGAGCTGGTAGGAACGTTGGGTTGCTCGGTCAATGGCCAGGGTCAACGGCGGCGTGGTGTATTCCGCAAATATGCCCGACTGTGAGGGCGGGCACAAGCCGGCGTGAGTAGGTTAAACGTTGAGTTTTATAAGGGCACCACGGGGTGACCAGCCCCTCCCCACCCAGCCCCACCCTCCCCAACCAGCCCCTCCCTCCCCACCCAACCCCTCCCCATCCTCCCCTCTCCACCCAGCCCCACCCCTCCCATTTTTGTATGCACGACGGACGGACGGACACAATAATCCCCTGTGGGCTGGTGGAACCAGGTGGTTCCTACCAGTATTACACATTCCTAGACTGGAACCGATTGCTCCACAGCACAATTCACTGGTGAGCTGACCATCATACATACCAACCATGTCTTTACTTGTTTATTCTTTTTACATTTTGTTTGGCAGTAGGGGTTTCGTTTGCTTGGTAGTCGCTGTATACAACATTTAGTAAAGCCTTAGGCTTTTGCGTTGTAAGGCTGGTGGTGGGGGCTGGTGGTGGGGGGTGGTTTTGGGGGCTGGTGGTGGGGGGTGGTGGTGAGGGTTGGTGGTGAGGGGTAGGGTGGTGGGGGGTGGTGGTGGGGGGTGGTGGTGAGGGCTGGTGGTGGGGGGTGGTGGTGGGGGGTGGTTGTGGGGGCTGGTGGTGGGGGGTGGTGGTGGGGGCTGGTGGTGGGGGCTGGTGGTGGGGGGTGGTGGTGGGGGGTGGTGGTGAGGGTTGGTGGTGGGGGGTGGTGGTGGGGGCTGGTGGTGGGGGCTGGTGGTGGGGGGTGGTGGTGGGGGCTGGTGGTGGGGGGTGGTGGTGGGGGCTGGTGGTGGGGGCTGGTGGTGGGGGCTGGTGGTGGTGGTGGGGGGTGGTGGTGGGGGCTGGTGGTGGTGGTGGGGGGTGGTGGTGGGGGCTGGTGGTGTGGTGGGGCTGGTGGTGGGGGCTGGTGGTGGTGTGGTGGGGGTGGTGGGCTGGGTGTGGGGGCTGGTGGTGGGGGATGGGGTAGTCGGTGGTGGGGGTGGTGGTGGGGGTGGTGTTGTGGGTTGTGGTGGGGGGTGGTGGTGAGGGTTGGTGGTGGGGTCTGGTGGTGGGGCTGGTGGTGGGGGGTGGTGTGGGTGTGTGGTTGAGGGGTGGTGTGGGGGCTGGTGTTGGGGGTGGTGGTGGGGGCTGGGTGGTGGGGGCTGGTGGTGGGGGCTGGTGGTGGGGGCTGGTCGTGGGGGGTGGTGGTGAGGGCTGTTGGTGGGGGTTGGTGTGAGGGCTGGTTGTGGGTGGCTGGTGGTGGGGGCTGGTGGTGGGGGGGTGGTGGTGAGGGGGGGTTGGTGAGGGTTGGTGTGAGGGTGGTGGTGGGGGGTGGTGGTGGTGTGTTGGTGGTGAGGCTGGTGGTGGGGTGGATGGGTGGGGGGTGGTTTGTGGGTCGTGGTTGTGGGGAGTTGGTGGTGGGGGGTGGTGGGAGGGCTGGTGGTGGGGGGTGGTGGTGGGGGGTGGTTGTGGGGGCTGGTGGTGGGGGATGGTGGTGGGGGGTGGTGGTGAGGGCTGGTGGTGGGGGGTGGTGGTGGGGGCTGGTGGTGAGGGCTGGTGGTGAGGGGTCTTTAAATCTCACAACGTTTCTTGTCAAAACAAACACTTTTAATTAACGTTACACTAGAATACAATAATTTTGTCTTTAACTCCTCTATACCCGGTCGATATCCCTGTACCGGTACTAAGTATTATTCCTACCAGCCCACCCCGCAGGGTCCTGTTATATAATTAATGTACAGCGTTATGGGATACAATTCGCATGAATTTCACTATATAACATTTTATTTAAAAAAAAGGAAATTACTTAAGTGTTTAATCTACGGACTGTATAGAGCCTTTAACGGCCAAGTTTCCCTGCGACCTGATGACCTTGAATTTGCCTGATCTCGTAAGATCTCGAAAGCTCGGCAAGATTGAGCCCGATTCATACTTGCATGGGAAATACCATAAACTCGTGGATTGACAAAAAAAGACTGTTAATTATTTTTCATATCACACAGCAATATCGCATAGGACATTAACAAACGCCATGCGTTGAAACGGATGTTGGTTTTCAATGGATGAGTACAATATAAATACATAGCCAACATATATCAACTGGCCTGTGACCAAATCGGCATATTCCCGATCTCCGCGGATCAAGCAAGCTAAGCAGTGTTAAACCTGCATAGCAGTTTGGATGGGTGGCCGCATCCATTCATAGTTTTTTTGTCCACAAACCACGGGGCTACGTGGTGCGTACTCGATTGTAGTGCATTGTTGTACGAAAGCCATTGTTGTACTATACTCATATGCTTCCGAG